TTTTGAATAAAAAGAAACTAAAAAAACTAAAAAAAACTAAAAAAACTAAAAAAACTAAATGTCCAGGAGTCTAGCCCTGTAGTTTTACAAAGAAAACTAAAAAAACTAAATGGCTGGACGTTTAGTTTCTGTGCGAACTGACACGCGCAACGAAATAAATGCGGAACGTCTCTCTAACATATATATATATACACGTGAGAGATGACGCTGAGTAGAATTACGCTACAAGTAGGATCGACGCTGCTTCGGATAAACTTCCCGGGGGTCGGACTTTCGGAAACAAAGACGCAAATGCAAAGAGCACCCTTTTCACAGACGCGGTGACCGATTTAGTGGCAGATGTGTACCGGGTACCAACCTGGCGCAGCGTTAGAACTGCGCCCCACGCTACAACAACTGGGCGCGCGAGAACGCATGGTTTCGTCGCCAACGCAAAGCACATGAGACGCGGAATATGTGTTTCTGTTTGCACGCACTGCTCTCCGCGCCCGCTCGGCGCGGCGCTACTTGGAGGAATGTGAAGGGGGCCAGCGTCTTACTCTACGCACACGCATCGCCATGCTCAGGCACGGTGGTTTGCACAACTGCACAGTTTCACAGCCTGGCCGCCTTAAATTGAACCTTCGTCAGACAAGTATCTGGAAATACCCATTGGAGTGGCTGCACGTGCCTTGCTGCAGGAAGAAACCGCTTCCCGTATTACATTTCTACTTTTCTACTACCAAGTGGCCAGTTCCGAGGCCACAGCTCTCAGAAGCCGCTTCCCGCACTAGATTTTCACTACCCGCTCTGAAGCCACAGCTCCCACAAACCCTATATGTGTAACAGCTACACATCTTTAAATTAGCAACCTCCACCTTCCTTTTTGACGACAGTTACACCCTTAACCTCCACTTCGTTTTCGGCGACAGTTAAACACACTTTAACTACCTCCATCTTCGGTTTTGCCGACAATGCACACGCTTTGGTAACCTCCACCTTCTTTTTCGACGACAGTTACACACTTAACCTCCGCCTTCGTTTTGCGCGCGACAGCTACTCTACACACTTTGGCAACCTCCACCTTCGTTTTCCACGACCGTTACAAACTTTGACTTCGTCTTCCACACTTTGGAAAGTTCCAGCTGCCGGCGCCATTTCTGACGACCGTTGCCACTTTGGCACCTTCCACCATCAATTTCGACAACAATGACACACTTTGGCAACGGAATTCGCAGTTCACCTCACGTTTAAGCACTTGACACGCAAGATCTCCGCAGAGGGTTCAAATTCGCATCTCACCTCACGTTTGAGCATCCGACGCGCACAATCTCTGCAAAAGGTTCATCCGGCGCAATCAGGGTTCGCTTTTGGCTCGCGTTTGGGCACCCGACACGCACGATCTCCGCAGAGGGTTCATCCAGCCCACCCCGAATTCGCATTTCGCCGCCACGATCTCTGCAAAAGGTTCATCCGGCACACCCAGAATTCGAATTTCTCCATACTTGTCTTTGCATCCAACTTTCCTCAAGCACAACCCCGGCCAAAGTTATGTTTGATTTTGCGTATGAGCAAGGCCCCAGCAAAAGTAATACTTGATTCTGCATATGACTTTACTATACTTGATTTTGCATATTTGTTAATTAAGCAGCGCCAGAGCAATTCACCGAAGCAAAATCCCAGCACCAAAGCAATTCTGGCAAGTCTGATATTACCAACTCCGTAGCAGCAGCTCTCGACAACCATACCTACAAGCTGCAGATATATTTCTACTTGTACAAATGCAACTATGTATATATATATATATAACTCCCAAATGTATTCATGCACATGTGTAATGCAAAGTATTTTTACAGAAGAACCCTTCGCAATCCTCCTGGGAATGATTGCATCCCCTCATCCAAACACAAATTACACCAGCATAGACCCAGATAGCTAGGCAGAATCCCACGACCTGTTGACACGCGACTGGCTGGAACAAGAATGTACGCAGCCTGCGCAGCCAGAATACGGCACCTCCACAGCGCACTTCACTATCAGAAGCGGGCACCAGCACCGAGCACCGGCACCACCACCCAGCCCAGCACCCGGCACCCGGCACCCTGTCTCTACCACGCGGCGCACAGCCAGGACGCAGCACTGGCGCCCAGTCTCCACCACACGCACTGCCAGCTCACAGCACCGGCGCCGGCGCCTGCTCTCTACCACGTGCACTGCCAGCGCCCAGCACCGGCGCCGTGTCTCCACCACGCGCCCACAGCCCGCACCAGCACCCGGCACCGGCACCCAGCACCGGCATCCTGTTTCCACCACGCGCACAGCCAGCTTAGAGCAATCAGCAGCAGCAACACAGCCAGCACCAGCACCCTGCACCGGCACCCAGCACCGGCACCCTGCGCGCAGCCAGCTCATTGTCGTTTGAAAAAGTAAGACAGCACCGGCGCCCGGCACCGGCGCCCGGCACCCTGTCTCCACCACGCGCACAGCCAGCACCCAGCACCAGCACTGGCACCCTGTCTCCACCAAGTGCACAGCCAGCTCACAGCACCAGCACCGGCGCCCGGCACCCAGCATCGGCACCCTGTCTCCACCACGCGCACACCCACACAGCCAGCCACCGCGCGCACAGCCAGCTCACAGCACCAGCACCGGCACCCGGCACCCAGCACCAGCACCGGCCTCTCCACCACGTGCACAGCCAGCTCACAGCACCAGCACCAGCACCGGCACCCAGCACCAGCAACCTGTCTCGAAAGCGCGCACGGGCAACTCATTGCTATTTGAAGTAAGAACCCCATAGCTTCGCTATCTGGGGAAAAATGATGTTTTGAACAAACGATATCCAGAAACTGGACAGGAATCAACAGCAAGGAAAACACGTTAAACAAGCTTGCATGTGGGTTCGGATCGAAGGGATAGCATGCTTGTGTGTCTTAGAGTCTTAGAGTCTTATCCTGTTCTATGAGGGCATCTAGGTCCCTGAAGCCATGAGGATGCTACTGTGACCCGCAAATCGACCAGGACGTGCACCTGCAAGCAGTTGACGAGTCCGCTTTGAATGAAGAGATATTAAGAGTTTGACAACCGCTACAATACAACACTCCTCCCAAAGGCCTTCAGCTGCCGCTCTGGAACAAGCCTTCAGCTTGGCCACGCGTGCCGCCAGAGAAAATCCACAACCCCTTACCCAAACGATCCCAAAAGAATACTACCAATTTTCCTGGACCGCACAGCTAGAGACAAAGCCTTCCCATGTCTGTTCTTGGCAAGGTTGAAGAGCTTTGTATATCGGGCTCCGGGCCATATTAGCAAAGCTGCAGAAATAGGTCCCAGAGCTATGGCCTCAGTCAATTCCCTGTAAAAATACACTTGACAAAAACCAGTGTGTGCGCTTGCGGTCTGTCCATGCACTGGCATGATAATGAAATAGTTTCGGCCGTCATGGAGTATGGGTAAAGTGCAGCTGATATGCGCTGGGAATCGGGAGGAAAAAGACTGGTGTAGGAGGGGGCAAGCTGCGGTCCACACCGTTCACACCCCACATGACTTTGGCAAAGTCAGTGGCAACAATGTCACAAGTAGTCTTTGGCGCAGTGCAGTCTTTCATCTGTTGCATGGTAGAATCCCATGGCCCAGGAAATAGAAGGGCCAAGTGCCTGGCAATCCGCGCTCTGAAAGACCTCGGTTCTTCTCAGGAACCAAGGAGAAAGTCACATCACTGTGCACATCTTGGTACCCTAGATTCTATATAACTTGGTGGCCAGCAATCCAAAGGCGTGACTCTTCGTTGGCTCATCATGCGAGGTGGCCATCCGCTGTTTGCTGCCGTCGAGGTTGTTGATTCTCTTTGAGCTCTGGTTGGGTCTGCAAATCTGCTGCTTCCGTTGCTCCGTTGCTTCGGTCAAGCTTAGAATCTCCAATCTCACCTACTGGTAAGCAGTCGCATGCGTGAAGCTGATGTTTTTCGCACTCGAACTGTGAGAGTCCATCAACAACAGCCTTGTCCATGGCTTTGTGGCTGTTTCAGCACACATCACTTCTTGCCCCTTTGGATTCATGCCAGCCTATCACGCGTCTTCTTGGGTAAGCTGAAAAAAAAAAGATGCAAAAAAAGGAAACAGTGACGCCTCCTCTTCCAGTCAAGTTCTTGTGCTTAAGCAAGTACGCGTTCAAGCATTATTATCATTGTTGTAAGTAAAGCGCAACCAGTCCACCGTCAGGGTATTTTCCAATGTCTCCCAGCCCACCAAGTCTATGCATCGTTTAAGCATCGGCTGCATCACCGGAGGAGCCATGCTAACTAACTGCTGCGCGCTTTCATTGCCGCGGCCTGGACGGGTTCAGTTCTACCAGAGAAACCGCAGATCTGGACATGTCGATGTTCTCAAAAGTGTCAAGCTCTCCAGTCAAGCCTTCACCTCCCAAACCATCTGCAAATGCCAAACGGCCATAGCCAGGCCTAGCAGAGTGTCTAAGCAAAGAAGCAAAGGGCGGCTGATGGATTCTACACTGACGTGTCAACAGTCAGGGTAATCATATAGCACAGGGTTCTGGCTGTGTTTTCATTCATATGTCTTCAATTGACACATCTACCGCTTGGGTGCGCTGCAAATGTTTAGGTCACATCAGGGCGGTTTAATGATGTCAACATAGAACTGCATGGGCATGCTCACGTGACGAGATGCAACTTTTGTCTGGTCGTTTGTTGAAAACCAATGAGGATGCTTGCAAAACAGCTGCATTTGTGGATATGACAGGCATGCAAATCACAATGGGCACGCTGTGTTCAGGGAGGAATGCGTTGATCACCACCAACATTGATCATCAATGAGGATGCCTGCTTAAGAATGGGCACGTTGTGACCAAACAAACAGGGCAACCGAGACCCCCTGGACAAAAGACAGTCGTTTAAAAAAAACAACAAAAAAAACTGCCAAAGAACCAAAATTACGCCAGCATAGACACCAGATAGCAAAAGAATGCAAAAAATATTTGTTAGCAGCGGCAGCAGGAGAAGCAGCAGCAGCAGCAGCACCCTCCAGCACCCTCGGCATCTCGCAGCAGCACCCTGGAGCGGCACCCTGCAGTGGCACCAGCACTCAGGCTCCAAAGCGCACACAAGCACCTCTTCCTATACTTGAAGCAAGAATCCCAATAGCTCTCGAACGAATGTCTCAACGAGCCTAGAGTGCAGAAGAAATGGCTTCAAACTCAGAACGAAAGCTGGGACGCTGACACAAGTCAAGAAGCCAACAACACCATGTCACAAAATCACAAAGAAATCAAAAGCAGAACGTGCCCCACCACAAGGCAGACGCTCAAAAAATAACTATCACGCAGTCCCTTTTTTTTAGAGTTCCTGTAGTAGAATTTGAAGCAAATGCGTTGTCACGATGCTAGAAAGCGGCTGCTTTCAGCACGCCCATTGAAAGCCCACTGAGGCCTACTGTAGCTACGTTGCTCTCCAACAATGAAGCCTGTAAGATTGATTTGCAGGGTTGATTTGCAGTTGACAAGCCTCACAGGTTGCAGAAACTGTCATAACTCATAACATCACCGTCCAAGCCCCAGGTTGCGTAAAACCGTGGTTTCCCAAAATGCCTCCGTGCTGCATAGCAGAATGCCAGAATCGCCTGACCGAGTGAAAGCTGCAATCTTAATTCACGATTGCTGTGAAGTTCGTAGTCTCTCAATTGAATGGTGCTAACCTAACTTTGCCAACAATTAATTAGCTGTAAGGTCAGAATCTTGATGTCACAAGTCTAAGCTACGAGGGGTAAAAGGAAGGAAGGTAAGAGATTGATAATCTTGACGAACCTGCGCGTGTCCAGACCTCGGTCGACGCAACAAGTTGGCTCAAGTCAAGCAGCAGCATATGACGATATACGAGTGCTGGCTGGACACTAAAGCCGTAAAGCATACGTCATAAAGCTTGCGGGACACAAGTACTGAGGTGTAAACGATCTCTGCCACAATGCCCTCCATAACGACTGTCGCTTCATTTTAGCCTGACATGCAAGTGTGACAAGCGATCTATGTGTGTGTATGTGTATATATATATATTACACATGTCTAACAAGGAATCTTGGCACAAAGTTCCGTTTCATTGCCATAAAAAGAAAAAAAAACTCCAGACTCAAGCACGTCAGCTTGGCAGATCCAGCTTTAGCAATGGCAAACAATATGACATCCTTGGCTTTGGGATGCAGTTTTTGCTAGCGCTCTTTCAACTCTCTCAGACTTGTACCAAGTCAGCCTTCATGCGACACTGGTTTGCACGCATGTTTCCCACTCGCTGCCCAGCAGAGTCCTCTGTCATGTAATTCTGCCCGGGCGTACGCACACTCTGCACCCAGTCCACGGGGCGTTGGAACGACACATATATAAAGTCTAAACACTCGATCAAACAAGTCCACGGTGTAGGCTCAGCTTGTCTTGTCAAGTCCTACAGAAGTGCATCGAAATTCAGTCCCTGCCAATTTGAGAGTGAACCTCAATCACTAAGGCGGTGCCCTCGACCACCAAAGAGTCGGAAGCCAGCTGGTTCAACTCCTTGCGTGTCATGCGAAGCGTCAACGTGTCATCGACATTGTCTGTCGCTGTCAAAAAGTCATGTCTCAACTTATGCGCACCAAACTGAGCCCAGAACTTCGGCCGGCGTCTCTTGGCTCTCTCAGCTGTCTCGGCTGTCGGGGAGGCCTGGATGTCGCTGGTACCCAATGGCCTCCAAGCATGCCCAGCAGCCCTGGAAGCCGCAACTGGTCCTCCAGCTTCGCAGCTGTGTGGCTGGATGGTAAAGCTCTGTCCAAGCGAAAAGTCCGCCAAATATAAGCGAAAAGGACAGCTGCAAATGTCTCCCATTGCACTGAGCCATTAAGAGCTGACAGCAAAAGTCCAATCGCCAAGGGGTACCACTTCTGTGAAATCTCCACCAGACCCAGCAAATTAGTGCGTACGTGCGGATGTTCCAAAGCTTGAAGGGTTAAACAAATCACAGCTAGGCTCCACGGCCCTTGATTCGATCGGAATTCCGCACAGTATCCAGAAAGTTTACTATAGAGCTTGAGGAAGAGGAGAAACAGCACGTTGCTCCCAGCTGAGTTCATTCCAAGCCAAAGCAAAAAACGCAGAGAGCCAAGTTCTTGCTCTCGTGCTGGAAGGAAGGAGACTGCCATCTGTAGCTCTGTGAGAGCCAGCAAGGCATCCTGTCCACTGCCCAGTGGCCGATATAGCACAGAAAGGATGATTGGTGCCAAATTCCTGCGGTGCAACAGTCTGTTATGTGCTTCGGTGCGTTCAACTTAGGCTAATCCTATTACAGTATATCTAATTGTATCCTCATATCTAATTCCATTCACAATTCGGGTCCTGCGACCGAGCACATTGGCTGTACAGCAAAGGAAGAGTCTCCAAACTGCTGCATCAGTTGGGAGGCCTAGAGAGGATAGCACCAGCGGACCTCCACAGCTAATGCCATAGAGAGCTGCCAGAAGCCGCGTGCCAGTAGGGCATCGCTCAAATTGCGTCGAGAGCGCAAGGCCCATTAGGAGGTTGCGAAATCAAGACTGAGACTGTTCAAAGTTGAAAGACCTACAATACCTGGACCTAGCATGACCCAGCTATGTTCAAGGAGGCAAAAGATGCAGCAAATGGTCGTCTTGCCTTAAACATGTCTGATGTATGTATGTACTCTCAAGGAACAAACTTTACAAATGCTATATATCTGCATTGAACACTGATGGTTGCTGTGAGCAAATCCTTGGAGAGTGGTTTCATATGCACGGCTTCACCAGCTTTCTCATTGGCATCCCTGGACCGCAGGGACCGCAAGCAAAGAGAAGCAAAGCAAAGCAATCAAGAAGCAGAGCGAGCAAGGGTTGGTATCCTGAGTTCCCTACTGCAAGATGCACGTCTTTGCCTGAGAATCAGAATCTCCCCAGCGGTTCAAAACAAAAATCTTTAAACACAGGAATCCAACCTACTAGCGATGGCCTCCAACCTAATCCAACGGAGTTGAAATTATTTGTGACAGTTTTTGGTCGATCCGATTTGACATCAGGAACTCACTCAGTCTTCCCTTGGTTTTTGTCAGCTAATAAAATGCAAAACAAACCTCCTCCAGCGCGGTCGATATTCCGCTTGAAGAACCATTGAAGCATTCGCTCCTGTGCGAAATGAACATTTCTGTTGGGTTTCTTCGCACGCCTGTGCGGCGTCAAAGCATGCTCCTCTTGCTGCGGCGTTGCTTTGAGCAAGCACAGGATTTGCTCGGTCCTCAGGGGATTTCACTTGAAAGTTTGTCATTAAATCTCCATCTCCCGATGCTGCTGCAAGGGGATTGAGGGCATACCCAAATTTGTGAAGCATTAACTCCAAGTGGTGCTTGCCTTGCTTCCAAGGGGCTCAGCAACAGCCAGCAAATGCTCGAATTGGTCCTGCAGAAAAAATTGCAAGAATGGCGAACTGAGCATGCAGCAAGCCACCATTGCATCAAAACGCGCTGTATTGATGAGACATTCTGTCAATCAGTAACCGGACAAGAGGGAAGAGAAAACAAAATGCGAAGAAGGGAAGAATCCTCTGAGATAAGAAATCGACACAAAAAATGAGGTGAAGGTGAACGTTAACTAGACGACGGATGGCCCAGGAGTGTGGAAGGAAGAGTATGTAGAAAACGGTGTGCGTGACAAATCTGAAGGGACTGCATTTGGGATTTTTATAGCTGCATTTGCAGGTACCCTACAAGTATATCAGCAGGTGCTGACAAACACCACGAACAAAGATCATCCTATCCATATTCTTCCATGTTTGCCATTGAGTACACGCAGCCGCTCGAGCCACATACCCCAAATCGAAAAATACCTGTAACAAAATTGTCCAAACCTCCAGAGGCAGCAGCTGCGACACCGTGGTTACAGGAAGCCAACGACAAGTGAGGATGCAACGTGTCTTTTTCAACCGTTTGCCTAATGTTACAACACAGAATGTGTATGATATGTAGCATGATTCAACACCTCAGTTAGAAGGACAAAAGCGACAAAGACTCCGAGAAGCATTGAATAATGTGTGCCAAAAATTTCAAGAATATACATGTCCATGAAGAATTTTAGCGGCGAGTCTGCAACTCCAGCGCCTTAACACTTGCAGTTCACAAATTATCAAGAACGCTCTCCATCACCTGAAAGACAACACCATGCAAAACAGTCTGTTGCACAACGACCTTAGCAAACCATGCACCTCACATACCTTACACGGTAAAAAACATCATGTCTTTGCCTTCCCCCAACGGCACCATCTCCAAACGCACGGTCCACCGTAGCCGCGCAAAACCGCACGGCGCCAGCGACATCACAGACGGAATTTTGCCACACAGTGTGCAACAGACAAGATACAACAAGGTACTGTAACATTGAGAATCGTGGGCGCCGCCAATTAGTTCCCTTCCCCCAATGGCACGGACTCACGCCAACGCGCTTTCCACCGTGATCACAGAAGGAATTTGGCCAACAGACCAGATACAGCAATGTAACCTGCAGCACAGTGGGCGCCGCCAATCATCCCTCTCCCCACCGACCCGCCGAATTTACATCAGGATGTTGTCCTCCCCCCTGCGCAAAAGCACTTTCCACCGTGGCCGCGCAAAGCCGCAAGGCGCAGCGACATCACAGACAAAATTTGGCCACACAGACCGCAACAGACTAGATACAACAATGTAACATTAAGCATCGCGGGCGCCGCCAGTCATCCAGCTTTGCAGCGACGCGCCAAATTTACACCAGCGCGACGCGCAGCATGCTTTCCTTCACTCCGTGGCACAGCGGCACAGCGACGTCACAGATGGAACGTGGCCACACAGTGCGCAACAGACTATAACATTAAACCGTTTGCGCTAGGCCTCTCCCTCCACAATAAATAAACTCCACGGCTGTGGCCACGACGTTCCGGTGTCAGGGCTAAAGCGCTATCGTCTCACCTTCTCTGAAAGCGCCCACTCGACAAAGCAATGGTGGTCCTGGCGGCCTCCAACGCGCAAATGGAATCTTGAAGGGCGCGCCACATTTCACTTGCAACTTTGCGCCGAAACCCATGGCAGAGGAAATGGAAATCTGCCCCGCGCCTTCTTCTTCCCGTTCAGCGAGAGTAGGGGGTCGAGGGCCGCCCAAGCTCTCGTAAGGTCCCAGTGCCCCCACTCAACCACATTCATCAGCACGGCGATTGTTTCGCCCGTCAACGCTGCGCCTAAAGCGGAGCGCAGGCGCTCTGTTTCAGGGTTTGTAAACTTGCGCTTGAGGCACAAGGCCGCGCCGCCAAACAAAAAGCTCAAATCGCAAGTCAAGATACAAAAGCGTTGTTTATTAAACCGAACTGAACCTTTGATATGCCGAAACCATGGACAAGACCTTTCAATGCCACTAGACTGCGCTTATGTGACCGAGCACTCGACCCGCGCGATCTCCGCAGAGGGTTCGCCGCGGTAACGCGGAATTTGCATTTCATCACGCGTTTGACCACTCGACACGCACGATCCCCGCAGACGGAAAGTCGGAATTCGCATTTCACCACACACATTTAGAGCGCCCGACGACACGCGCGATCTCCGCAGAGGGTTCATCCAGCACAGCCGGAGTTCCAGAATTTGCATTTCACTATAATTTTCCTTGTTCCTGCTGTTCAGGGGGTGGCTACGCAACCAAGGCTTTGGCTGCACTAAGCTTTTGGCAGCCATGAGAGTGATTGGCTTTAGCTTTGGCCATGCGACCGCAAAGACAGTGATTGGCTTTAGCTTTGGCAATGTGAAAGCCATGACAGTGGTTGGCTTGCATGCAGGTTTACACATATATACAATACGTGTTGAAGTGTCTCCATAGACCCACTGTAGTGCTACATAATTTGCGTGTGACCCATAGTATGGAAACACGACCCCTTTTTTCTAGAGCAGTGTTGCTTCAGAGTCATGGGAAAGGACTTGGGGTGAGAACAAAACAGCCCGCGTGACCCGGAGCCTATTTGGGCTGATTTTGACCTGGACCAGGCAACTGCTTGCGAGGTAAGATGGTAAGCGTCTGCGGCGGAACGTTTAAAGGATCCTGTGTTGCGCTAGACCATGGAACAACCCCCCCTGTGATTTGCTTCGACCTGGTCTTCACCGTCAAACTCTTTTGCGGTTAGCTTTGCGGTGTAAAAAACAAATATATACCATCAAATAATACATAGATATATGCTTGCACTGGCAGGGTGCACAATGGCATTTGGAAGATTCGCCGAGTGGCCACTGGGATCCTCAACTTGTGCCCAAAATATGTGTACAGGAGCCTTCAAAAGCTTAGGTCAAGAAGCAGGAGCAGGTCTCCACACTCAAGGGTGAGCCTCAATATGTTCAATGTTTTTCAAGTTTGACTCTACCATCAACTCTTCCCAGGCCACTCCTCCCCAGTTGAAACAGCAGGCCTACGCGCACGCAATCATTTGCATTGACACGGGTTGAAGGTGCTTTGCCCGGGGGTGAAAGGAAGTGACAGCGAAGTTGAAGAAAATGTCAGACGCAGTTTCATGTTTGCTTAGAAACACTGACCCTGATCTCGTTTCAGGCGCTCAAACGCAAGGGTGGGTGGTGTTTTAGGCTGCATCTGCGCAACGCCATTGGCTTCAGTCCAAGATCTCACTGATGATGAGTACGGGCCCAATCTTGGAAACTAGTTGCCCGTTGAACTTCATTCTCATTCGAGGTTATAGCGCCCTGATAAGGTATAGCGATGGTTTTACAAACATATAGGTAGTCCGTGCAAAAAGCTTTGGACTTTTTGGGGCGTTTGTTCCAAGAGAGGTGAAACCAACCAAGCAAAGCCATGAAACGGTGTCAAAAACTTGTGTGCGTGTGTGTTTTTTAAAAATCTTTTGAGAAATTTCAACAGCACAGCTAAAACCGATTGCTGTCATGGCTGCCAAAAGCTTAGCAAAGCCAATGCCGTCATGGTTTTCCAATCACTCTCACAGCTGCCAAAAGCTTAGTAAAGTCAAAGCCTGGGTTGCATAGCAAACCCTCAACGGCAGGAACAAAGAAATGTACACCTTTGAGCACTCGACGCGCACGATCTTCGCAGAGGGTCACGTTTCGCAAGCCCTGTCCGGCCAGGCACCTGGCTAAGAAAGAAGAGACAAATAGCCGAGACGCAGCACCCACACGCGAACAAACATATGTTTCACTCTCTGTTAAAGCTTACTTTTGCATATGTGTTTACTGAAGCAAGACCCCAGCGAGAGTTATACTTGATTTTGCATATGCCCTTACTTAAGCAAGACCCCAGCGAAAGTTATACTTGACTTTGCATATGACTTTACTTAAGCACATCCCAGCGAAAGTTATCCCAGCAAGATCGCAGCACCAAAGCAATCCACCCAGGCAAGATCCCAGCGCCAAAGCAATGGTAGCGTAGCAGCAGCTGTACACAACCATACCTGCAAGCTGCAGCACTTCTATGTAGCATGAATACAACTGCGGCTGTATAGGTCGCAAATGTATTTGCACGTGTGATACCACCTCCGTAGCAGCAGGTCTAGAAGACCACAC